GGTTTTGTGATAGCATCCACGAGTAGTAATTATTAAATATTTGAAACTCCTTTTATCTCAGAACTTCTAAATCATTTATGAATATTGAAGTCTCATGAGATGGGAAGATATCATCAACATTATTTTCCAAATGCGGAAACTAAAGCAAGAGGAGTTTAAGAGGCTTCATAAATTCACACGCGGACTAAGTGGTAATATGTAGGATACTATACTGAGTTTCACATCTTTCTGTGTTCCTGAGGTAATGAGGATATGAGATAATGAGATAATAATTGATTTTTTGTGTTACAGTTGATTCCCTTTTGTTTCTGCATTGCACAACAGAAACAAACACTGACTGTCCAATTTCTGAGAAAAACAAAGGAGATAGATAGATACCTGAAGATACAGCAATCACTTCAGAACCAGTAGTAAAAATGACATGTTATACCACTTTTTAGAATACATATTTCTCAGTAAGACATACATATGTATTTAAATAACTTTCAATCCACCAGTCAAAAAAGCCCGTAAACCCATCTGTTCAGTATTACAGAACACATCATAAGTTAAAGTAGTGTTGGCTTTAGATATTCAAAATTAAAATCAGCTGCTTTAAAAAAAAGGCAAATACTTTTTGTCTGCGTAACTGCATATAATTTAGAACATTTTCAGATTCATGGCATAAAACTTTCCAGTGTTCAAAACCACTAAAAATATGTATATTATGATTTGTTTAAAAAGCAATATGGGATTTTTTTTTCCCTCAGCTCTGTGCTTTTTCTTTTCTTCTCCCACCCCACCCTTTTTCATTTTTGTCTTCAAATAACTCTTTCTTCATTTTGTTAGATATAAATAAAGGACATGGTCTCTCTTACCTCAGCTCTTTCAAATGACAGTCTTCTGTGATGGTGTTTTAAGACTAATATAATCTTATATCCAATACACAAGATTTTTTTGGGAAAACATTTTGAGTAATTAATCTAACGACATTTCCATTAGAAGTAAAATCATAATTTCCTACATAAGGCATAATTTACCTAGGAAGCATACTTTAGCTTATGGTATGACATTATTAACAAGAAATAACTTGAGGAAGACAACACTATTTCCAAATTTACTGTGTTATGAATAGAGTTATAAAGTATTCACAGAACTGACAGGTAATCTATAAAGAATACCAAAGTGTTGCAAAGTATTCTGGGCTTATAAAAGAATGGTATGAAGATCAGCAATCCACAACATATTTGAGCCAGGTTAGGAAATGGGAGGGATGTTGGCAGCTCTCCCAAAATATACATGAGGAAACTACACTGTTAGTTTCACACAATGTTTCCAGATGAATTGATACCTTCACAGCCTAATTTAATCCCATTATTTGCACCCTGTCTTCCATTCTGTTTGTGATCTCAATGTACAAAAATGCAGCCAAAAGCGTGTAAAATGAAGTGATTTAGATCATACGCACTTCAAATGTTCTTTGGAACAAATTATAGCCAAATGAAGCGGAATTAGCATTGAAATACTGCCACAATGTGCACATTGTCCCCCACACCAAAACCAGTGGTCTTAAGCAGTCTTATTAGCAGAAGGAAACCTATTTTTGAGCAGTATTTTCTCATACTTGAAAGACTGAAGATCTTACTTAGCTCAGGAATCAAATTCTACAGGGTGGAATGGTTTTGTTTTCTTGTATTGTAAACATCCAGATGAGACTGTGAAGAGGCAGATACCACCTGCCCTAGGCTACTGCCCATTTAGGAACCAATCTTTGCAGGGCACAACAGTGCAGTTAAGCCGCAGGCTGTTCTTTGGGTCACCAGCTGCATAGATAAAAAGCTACCACTTTTAGAATACATACAAATGATTCTTGACAGGTTACCTTATGTCAAGTCAAAGCAACTAGGATAGTCCAGTCATAACTTGGATTTATCACGTAGGTACCTCTTGAACCACAACAAGTTCTCGGACAGTCTTGTGCAGAAACCACAGTTAAGGTCAGAAGCTTGAGGCACCATGTGTCCTGGAGCCGACCCAACTCACTCAATGTCTCAGCTATTGCAGGTTGCCTTTACTCATGCATTTCTTTAACTATTAAAGCGTACAGCTCTGACATTCCTACCACCAGACATAATTTATGATATATGATTTTACTGGCAGCTCACCTATGCATGAAAAGTTCATATTTTAACACCTTTCTCAGGCTTAAGAGTACTTGATTTTGAGTAGTGAGCCCCTCCACTGATGTACCAACAGTGCTCATGACCAAAGAGAATCTTGGTTTCGGCTTGTGCTACAACTCTTGCATTTACTTGTGATTAAAGATATGTTCTTTTTCCCCTCTGGGCTTCAGAAAGGAAAGCTCCATGTTGGCCTTGTCCTGGCCAACCCTCTGCTGCAGTGAGATAGAGAGGAAACTTCTCTCCTTCTCCAGCATTACCAGCAGGAAAAGTAAGCCAAGTGCAGAGAGCAGCTCAAGACCCAGTAAGCAGCTAGCCTGGGTGTTGCCAGAGAGGAGCATAGAGCTGACATGGTTCTGCCTCTTGAGCAGGGGAAAGAGACTTTTTATGAATCAGGGAGAGTTTGTTAGAGTGTTTGTTGCAAAAACAGAAAGCCACCAAGAGACACTCGATTGAAAGTGAGCTTGGGGAAAGGATCATCTTTGCAAAGATATACTGGACAGGGTGGAGATTTGTGCTTAAATCCTTTCATTTTTATTCCAAAGCAGACCTAAGCTCTTCCACAGGAAATGCTCACTGTTCTGCTCCAGTTTTCAGTGAAATATTGCTCAGGAGGAATGCTCTTCTGGTGGTTCAGGTGCTCACTTAAAGGAAACAGGGGAAGACACATTCTCCTCAAAGCGCTAGCTGAGTCATGGTCCTATCCCATCAACTATCAGAAGGCTAGGTTCATGTGTAGAAAGAGACTTGCAACTTTTTTAAAGTGCACATTATTAATAAAACCTTGCTTAACCTGCTTATTACTTTGGAGATGGAACCATTTCTCAGGATTTCTGGAGGATTTAGAGGAGAGGGTCACCTATACACATAGTACTTTAAAGTGGCTTTAATTTTGGGCATTGTTAAAGCCTATTTACTATTATTTTCATGTCTCTTTGGGGTCTATTCTACAATCAGAAAACAATAGAGGTCATAAACAAATTAGAATAACTAAATATTTCTCAAGGAAGGAAAGAAGTTTAATGTTTTGCAAGAAAAAATTGCTATGTCACTATGATACAGAAGGACATGGGTTAACATTTGAACCAAATAAAAAAAAAAATTCAACCAAGGGATTTTTGCTTATTCGGATAAAAGGGGAGCAAAATGAGGCCATTTCCAGACCAGGAATGCTGGAAAATAACAACTGATCCCATACCAATAAGTCATATAAGAACAAGGGTGTCTCTTTTTTTTTCTGAAGGAAATACAAAATCCTTATGATGTAGAAATGTTTCAAATGTAATTAATTGCTTCCTTAGACAGGTATTGCCTGTGGCCCTGCAAAAAAAGGAAATAACTGCAACTCCTTTCTCAGCAAGAATTTAACCAAGTAATGTCACATGAAAAAAAAATTTTCTTTTATGTCTGTACTCTTAAAAGCTCAGACATAACAGAAGAGTAAAGTGGGGTGAACTTGCCAAGTAAACAAGCCTGTCAGATGCAGTTACAGATTAAACATGGACCTTTTCCCATCAAAAGTAGTGTGTACATGAGTGTGGAGTGGATAAAACAACTGTAGTATACTGTGCTGCTGACAGGAATTACTGTTAGTGAAATTTATTCCCATAATGGAGGACAAAGTCTAGTTCTCTCAAATCCTCCTGTGAGTTTCAGGAAGTGGAAAAGGGTTGAGGAGTACAGTGAGTCTTCCTCCCAAATGGGGGGGACACAATCCCACACTGATGATCATTAGGAACATGGTTAGAGATATGAAAACATAAACTCATGCTCTTTTATCCAATTAAGGATAGAAATTAATGCAGGATTCTAAAAAGAAGGTTCTAATAAGCATAGTCAAGGTAAGAAATCTAACTAGTATTCAGATGAAGCACAATAAGGATTGTATGACATTAGATAACTGTGAGAACAGAGACTATATTCCAAGGTACCCTCAAAATGTACATTCCTCTGAAAAAGAAGCTCCAAGCAGAACACCTGACCAGCACCTCAGAGCTTTGTAGGTTTCAACATGTGCTCATCTTGCTGATAATGCTAATGGTAAGGCAGAAAGAAGGCTGATTTCTTCATGCTAACAAGACATCTGTCATTTTTTTCTAAGCATAAGCATTGACTTTCCTACAGCTGTGCATTCATACAAAGAAAAAGGTCTGCACTACAAGTGAAAAAACATGTTTCTTCAGGTAGAACATCAAAAAAGTCCTGCTTAGGATGTTGCACCAAATTGTAATTGGAATCACAGTCTGCAGTAAATATGTGCATTTTCAGATCCAAGAATAGCATTTTGGATCTATAGTTTCAGTAATAAACTATCATAAAAATTTATGCTAACTAAAACGTTACTAGAAATTCTGTCATGACAGTCTGTATATAAAAAAAAAACTCACTAATGCTCAGAGCTACTTAAAAAGTAAGTATTCTTGTGTTGCCAAGGGCTAGATTTTATTATCTCAAACCAAAGATATTTAGAGATACCAATACTTAAGATCTACCTAGAAATGCCAGGTGTGGCACTGTACAAAATTAAATCATTTTCATGGCACCAACATGACAGAAAATATGCTAGGAAGGTAATAATAGCCCTCTGTGTTTCAGTTCAAACATCTAATCCCTCAGTATGCAGGGACTAAACATGCTTAAAAATTAATTTTTATAGACTCCTGTAACCTTTCTATCCCTGCTTAGAATCAGAAGTATTAAGTCACACAAGGCTGCCTTTCTAACAGACTTGTATTCACAGGTAAATCAAGTGAACATATAATAGCAGGATTTTGCTGGTCTTTTCTAAAGTATGCTTGTATTTGGGCTGGAGAAAGAAAAAGTAACTACAATTAATTTTACCTTTAGGTGTTGGAACTGGTCTTTCAAGTCCATCTGTATGACCTAAAGGGTCACTTGAATCTGGAATTTCCATTTCACCTACAGGGGAAAAAAAAATATTTTGTGGAATTGAGGTTTTGAGTTAATCTTTCTCTTAAACAGCATTACAACAGTGAGTTCAGCAAACTCATTCAGTCCAGATCCTGGTTCCAGAGTAGCACACAGAAAACACCTACTAACAAGGTCAGAATTTATCCTTCACAGACTAGAGAACTTTACATTAATTTACCTTGTGGACTTATATTGTGCTTGGCAAACATGGGCAGCACTAAGAACTACTTTCCAGTTCTACCAGAATAAAATTCACACAGTTTTACAAAAATGCAAACATTTCCTGAAAGCAGTGCTGGCCAGCAAATTAAGCAGTACCTGATCTTTACTGACAATATCAGTTACAAAATGGCATAAATCTGATTTCAAAGTTACATTATACTATTTTAGATTCTATTTCCAGAGGCCAGAGTCATCATCTCTGCTAACTTTCTCATCCTATTCTCAGCTGCGTCCCCAAGATGTCTCCCAGAAATGAAAATATAATAACCATTAGCCAAGTATTCCAAAGGGTGATGAAATGGGCAGACACCTTTCTGATGTGCCCCCATTGTTTGTGTCTAACATATATCAGAACAAGCTAGAAACAATGTTTAGCCAGCAGTTGCAGCAGACTGCAGACAATACCTCCAATGTTCCTTTGCTTTTGCAAGTCTTACAAAACCCTGACCATCATAAAACAGGGGTTCACCTGTCCATTCTCCCTTTTGAAAATAAGATGCTGTGAGGAACAGAGCTGAACTTATGAATCAGATAAAGCTGTAGGGGTGCTTTTCCTAAAACAACTTCTCAAATGACATGCCCTATATTTTGTATTCCCTCATTCACATTTGGTCATCCAAATTCCTTATCACCTTGGCAGACCACCAAAAGAGCATGCAAATCTAGGATTCAAAGTGAAAGACACGGGTTTTGTTGTAGATTTGTTAGGGGTACATGGTTTGGGTAAAATGAAACTAGGGAAAAGGCTTTCCCCTTTCCTTCAGAATTAACCCCACAACAACACATTGACTGCAAGTCACAGTGAGGAAAGGCAAGTAACCCCATCCCTATCTTCTACCACATTATAAAAGAAGAATCAAAACTGTAATTATTCTTTATTTTTCCTTTATGCTTTTACCCATTATTTGAGAACAGATTTAGCTAACTTGCCTTTAAGATTACTGGGTGAAACACAGAAATCAGAGACATCCTCTACCTCAGGCTTGGTCTGAAAGTATTCAGTCACAGTACTGTCACCTTGTCACTTCTTCATCTCTCCCTTCGTCTCTCACTGCTTGAGGCTCCTAGCCTGGCAGTACTACTGATTCCACCTGAGTTGTGTGCTCATTTCCAGACATCCCAATTAGAGTGATGGTGAAGGCAGTGCTGCACCCCTGGTAAACACTCTTTTTCAAATTGGAACAGCTGAGGCTTGGGCAGACATCATCTTCTGCCACTCCCAGCACTGGCCAAAGGAAATGGTAGATAGTCTTCCTCTACAGACTGGAGTGAGAAATGGAACCGGGTGGCCAAGGTGGTGGCATCTTGAATTGACATTGTAAATGTTGCCCTAGTGTGTCTTCACACCCCTGAAGACATGGTGCAGACTCAGTGCCTGACTTTTTACTGTACAGAAGTTTTGTTGATTTGTTTGATTCAATGTGAACGGATGAATGCATAATAGGGATATTTCTGGCAAATTTCAGCAGAGATACATCACATCTCCTTTTTACAAAGGGGGAGCAAGGCAAGTTCACCTCTATTCCCTTGCTTCACTTTGACCTCCTCTGTGTCGCACAGGGAGTTTAGAACAGGACAGCGACATTCACTGGCCACAAGGAAGATAAATCCAAGATGAGACATTGGAGTAAAAAGAAGAGTAGGAAAAGCAACTGTTCTTTTAGTCCACAAGCACCTGCACTTGGCTTGTTCTGGTGATCATAATCCACCAGCATTCACAGGATAAAATATTACTTGTAGAAGCCCATTCTTAGGGCCACTTGGTTGCCTAACACTCAGAGATCCAGACTACAAACTGCGCAGGTCTGAGTGGCACTTTTGGTTTAATACCATGTGTTCAACTCTAAAATAGTTTTTTCCTTTTTTTCAGTCATATAGTGGGACTCACAACAGGGAAAAACATTGGAAACTCAGATAAATGAGCACAGAACTGTCTCGCTCTCTCTTCCTTCCTTCCCAGACCCATATCTCTTAATTTTTTAAAGCTCTTCAAAACAAAGATGGAAAGAAACAAAAGCATTTGCTGATTTTAAAATGTTTCAATAATAGTTTTCTGTGATTCACTCTTGTGCTTGATATGTTCATGTCTGGAAAAAAATGTATGTCCAGATGTGCTTTATCAGAGAAAAATTACAAATGATAGACAACACCTACTAGCAAAGTCTCCATAACTAAACAAAGTTAAAGCTGAAAACCCTTTGTGTACTTTGTAAATCATAAATACAAAACAGATCTGTCACTTAAACTTGCCTTTATGAAAGAAACGTATATTTTCTGTAATCTGCAAAATTCCACTTCGATCATATTCATTAGAAATGCCAAGTTTTTACCCTAAAGTTTCTGTGCCACAATTTAAAACACCAAGAACTTATTATCCATATGAAATACTAAGTTTTTTGCATCACAAATGCTTCTGGATTAGACAACCAACAAGTCAATACAACCAAATAGAAACTTCCCCTATTGAGTTAAATAGAATTAAAAAGTCCTGCAGTTAAAAACTTCAACAAAAAAGCTGTGTATTCCTGTCAAATATTATTCTCAGTGCTTTCTGATTTTGCATTAATAACTTAGTACATTTTTCATGCTAGGAGTAAATCCATGGTGTTTTCCTCAACAGATAGTAATTCTTATCATTTTTTTTTAATTCTCTTCACAGATGCATCCCTGATCACATGCTACCACCAACTCTCTGCAGTCTTATTTATATTTGAAGACCCCTACAGAACTGTGCTCCTGTCCACATCTGGTTTTTAACTTATGTCCCTTTTCCGACTTTGTTTATTCAGTATTTCAGTAAGGGCACCCCATTTTGCTTTTCTTCTTCCTACTTTCTGTATCTTTTCCTGGCAGCATTTTTATGTGTTTTTCCCTGTCTGAAGGGGAGAAAAATCCACAAAGTAATTTTAGGTGTCAGACTTTCACTGTCAGTCTTGATCAGTAAGCAGCTACTGCTAGAAAAGATGTAATTGTTCATTAAACTGATTTCAGATGCAACAAAGATATTAGATAGTCACATCTTTTTTGGTAGCTATTACAATTACAGCATTGTCATACAATGCTAAGGAAAAAGGTGGACTCGCAAAACACAAAACTGGCAGAACAGCAGCAACCCACAAAACAGTTGTTATTAGAAACTGTTAAGAAATGTTCAATGTTTGAACCTTATGCGATACTATCAACTCACACTGGCAAGAAGTATGCTAACAAGCATGCTACTACATAAATATGTAGCTAACTGAAGACAAATCAATCACCATGGTGTCTGGAAAGTGTCTCAGTGAACGTATTTCCATTGGTGTATGAGGAACACCCACAGCAGGCTGGACAACTGTGCAGGTATGTACAGAAAACAACAGCACAGGCTTGTACAGTCCAAGCCTGAAAGAGTTCTTGGCAGAGGACTTTGGGTGGTCCAGATGTTCCTGGAATGGAGAATACAAAAAAGGCTAAAGGGTATACAGGCAATCAAACTCTCTTATTCAATGCTACTAAAGAAAGTGAAGCAGACAGGGAATGGGAGTAAAGACAGACCTGACTGAGAATCATGGAGACAAATGCAAAGAGGTCCACATGGAGAAAGCTTATTCTTAACACAAGATTTGTTCAGAACTGACGGTGACTACTGAGGACCAAGATCATTGGCTCAGAACAGTCAGCTCCATCAAAATTGAGCTCAGTTCTCAGAATCAGTAAGAAAAGCAAACCAGTCACTATTAGGTATTTCTATGAAAGGAATAAAGAATAAAACTGAAAGCATCATTACGCTGCTGTGTAAATCTATGGCTTACTCTCATAGATTGAACATTGCGTGCTGTTGAGGTCCTCTCATCTCAAAAAGGGTACAGAAGAGTCAGGAGAGTTTCAGAGAAGACCAGTGAAGATAATTGAAGTTATAACCCAGGTTTTGTACAGCTGCTAGGATTTGTTGCTTTGGGAAGGAAATGGCTGAGGTCAATGACAGTAAAGATCTATGGAGTCATGAGAGTTTTACGAGAGGATGGACCAATCTCTCGGTAAAAGAAATAGCAGTATGAGGGAAAAACAGTAAAAAACAATTTCAAAACAAAGCTAAAACAAGGTAAAGTTTTCTCAAACAAGGTGTAGTTAGCCTGTGGGCAGAGTTCACATGGGCTACAGGTGAGACTGGGGAAGTTCATGGAGAAAAATCCAAATCAGACCTAACTAATTCATGGAAATCCTATGTGGGCAAGGAAGTCCCTGAGCTCAAAATGGCTGGAGGCTAGGTAAATTCCCAGCATTAAGTAGTGCTACATATGCCAGACCTCTTCTTACACTTACTTCAGCATCTCCTTTTTGCTACCATCAGAGCCAAGACACAGGGTTGCATAAATTTCTCATCTGCTCTAGTACAGTTACTCTCACATTTTTAATTTGCATTATGTTCTCTGCTCAGACATTAAATGTAACATGGCTTATTTCTGAACATCCACTTCTTCAATTTACATTTGCAGTGATAGTGTCATATCACCAGTGTCTGTCCTCCTTGCACATTGCATGACCAGACAAGACCATCATAACCAGAATTCAGCCTGAATGCCAATTGCCAGTATGGGACCATGTATGTGCCAGATGTGCCACATGTCAGATCCCCAGGAATACCCCTCTTTTCAGGGAACACACAGTCAGGTAAAATGCAAATGTTCTAAATAGTGCCTCTTTTAAACTGCTCACCCACACAAAAAGGATTTCTTAACTTTTCAGGGCAATAAAGGAAATTATTTCAACTTAAGGAAAATCCCAACTCCAAAAAAGAGGCAATATTTAAAGTCAGTGTTCCATATTTCTGGTGTGCAAAATTCATTCTGTTCCTTTGACTTAACTATAGCAAACTGCAGCACAAAACCAAGAAGTACAGAAAATACTTTTCCAAATGGAATGTTAATTATTTTTGTTTCTTTTGCCAATTCCCTTCTCCTGAAAATACGAGGAAGATTTGCTTACTGACAAGGTCCAGTGCGGGTAGCCCACTGCTCCATTTCAGGCACCAATGACCAACAAAATACACAAGCAAACATCCTATATTATTGAGACAGAAATGCCCCTTCACACATTTGAAAAATAAATTGCCCAGCTGATCACAATACCAAGTCACAGGGCATACACACAGCATTTGTCATAAGAGAGTTAAGTTTTTCCCTCTGAAATGGTTATGATTTCACAGATCATTCATTACTTGAGAGGTAATTGCAATAAACAGATTTCAAAATGCTCATGGCCATAAGCAGACATCAAAACAGTACATTAATCTTCATCAAAAAGCCAGTCACAAGGAGGCAGTTATCATAATTGATACCAGGGACAAACCAAGGCCTCAGCCTCACACAGGAAGAGAATAACAAAATCAGGTATTTTCAACCAGAGTGAGCCCGATTAATTTAGAGCAGTTAAAGGCTGGCTGATGCAATGACATATGATGTTAATAACTGTCCTTCTGTTCTTGCTGAGCACAGATGAGATCTTAAAAGATGGGAAATTGCACAAATAGTTCTTACTATTTATTAAAAAGGGTAAAAAGGAGTGCCAGAGAATTATAGACCCATCAGCTTAACTTCAATTCCTGGAAAAATAATGGAACAAAGAGGTTATTTTTAAGCACTTACAATAAAGCAGAGAGATGAGTAATAACCAACATAGAAGCCAATGCTGAATTGGCTTACATGAGTTGGAACTGAATATAAGTCAACAATCTCAAGCTATTGCAAACAAGGCAAACATCATACCGGGACACATAAACAGTAGCAATCCTTCCCGGAGTGGTCTCTCCAGCTTTTTGTATTCCATTTCAAGATGGTCATGGGTTAAACTGAAATACTACAACTAGTGCCAAGAGGACAGTCTATAAAAAATGACCGACAAAAAGAAAAGATTAGTGACTACTACACCTGCTTAGTTTGAAGGAGACTAGGCATGGGCTAAGAGCTAGCAGTCTTCAAACGCACAGGTCTCAGTGAATGAAATTTTCCAGGGTGGAAGATTAGGTAAGCAATCTGTTGCATATGACACCGCACAGATACAGTTAATGCTTCTTCTCCCAGGGTGAAACAGGACTTCTTAGGATCTTTTCCAGTCTCATGATTCTATGAGGAAAACAACCATCGCTCTACTGTTGTATGTTAAATCCCAAAGCTTACAAATAAATCCTTCAACACTAACAATTGCACATAGCTACAGTTAGGGAAACTGCAGTTTTTGTTCCACCATTCCTTCCACTCATCAATAATCCTGTTTCTGGAGCTAAAACTATTTTCAGATTTAAACAGCAATATGCAACCTTTGCTTCCTGTGGCTGTAACCTTTGACTCAGGTTCTAACTTTCTTCCAATAACTTAAAACTCCCAAACTCCCTCTCTTTAGCCTAATACCTTCTAATATTCTGTTCTTTTCTTCATAAAACTTGGTTGACCTTCTGTCAATTACTAACCTCTGGAGTTCCCAAACAAAGGGCCCACTGTACCCTTTGATTCAGCTGCCAATCTGATTACTTTGGCTGGGGGAGGCAGGCTGCTTGGGTTGCTGAATCAGGGCCTTTCATTGAAATTTCTCTTTTCCAACATCTGCAGCCCCTGGCAACCAATTGCAGAGTAGGCTTGGCAGACCAGTAAAGGGTGGTGAATAGTCTACAAAAGATGCAGTTTGTAGCATAAAATCAGTGTGCCCCTTTCATAGTGGTGGCAGATTAGAACCTCCACAGCACATGTTGCTTAACTGCTGCAACTTCACGTAAAAATAACTGAAGGTGGGGAAATAACCTGCACTTTTTGTTGCAATTGCTCTACTCAGGACAACTGTGAAGTCTGAAAAACAGGCACTTCTTAGTTGCCATCAGCTTGCAAAGCATACTATTCGCAGGTTAGTATGTTTACTAGTTAATTTTAATTTTACTCTTTAGCCATCCAAAATTCTTTAAAATTACTTTCAGCTAAATTCATAGTAATAAAAAGCTCTCACTATGAGACCATTAGAAAGGGAGTTAGCTTTTCTAAGCCTGCTCTGTTGTAACTTCAAAATAACATTAAATTAGTATGTTTAAAGTAAAACCAACACCAGCCTGCAAGTCACAGAACCTTCTGAAAGCTGGTAGAAAACACAGACAAGAAACCTTTTACAAGAGCCAGGGTTGAGTAATATAGAATGTATTCCCACAATTTATAAGCATTCCTTATTGAAGCAAATCTCTTGTTCCATTAACATGATTTTTCACCTCCTCAGAATTTTTTTCTATTTTACCTGATAGCTATACTGAAATGGTTTCATTCAGGAAAGACACTCTGCTGCAAAATCTGTGAACTACACTAGGGGACAAAGGCAGATCTGGGGTTTATGAGCTGTAGCAATGAAAAGGGCTTCATTATTTATTTTGGACAGAAAATTTATCATTGATTTAAAATAAAATTCCAAACAAACACAGTGCTAAACCACCTTCATTCTGCACAGTGAGACCTCATTTCTGGAACACATCCTAACAGAGATTCAAAATCCTATACTTTGACATCCTGTTGTCAGTTAAATGCATAAAGAGGGAATCCGCATATTGCATTAATCTCTGTTACTGCAAATGTTTGTGTTCACACTGATCCAAGGTAGACTAGCTGTCTGTTTTGGAAAACCAGTAGACAAGCACATGATGAAATAGCTGCTTTACAAATTCCACAAGGTTCCTGCAGGCACTTCCTCATTTAATAAAACAATCCTTATTAACCTACCATCAAACAACTGTAAAACACAGTAAAATAAATCAGCTGACCATCAGCACAAAACTCCAGAGAAGGAATGATTCTTGATTTCTACACAGAGCTGCAATGAATCTCCAAAATAGAAAAAAAGTATACTGAAGATGCAGTTTATCTTCTTAGTCATCAGCCAGGCACCTCACCGAGTACTATGAAGTCAGTGTAAAAAGAACATAATCAGATAAGTCATTTAAAATATTATTACCAGGGATTCAAACACAGA